ACATCGCAACATAATCAATTCGTATCCAGGAATGTCAGTTGTGGACTCCGTTTGACATTACTTCGTGCGCTACTGATCTTCGCCCTATGTAATACGTGTAATACGTTGGACACTTCGCTAACGTTACAATTCGATAATGTTCCGAACGAAAAGGTGATTCACACGGACTCAATCATGAGACGAAGAGAAATAGACGAACGTATTTTTTCATGGACCTTCCATCGCTAAGCGTTGCAAAGGTCTCTACTTTTGGCCTTTTCGAAAATCATGCACACACCATCAACCATCAGAACCGTTCCTAATTTTATCATAGGGATGGAATGATTTGGGAATGAGTTTTGAATGTGTATGTATTCTTTGATGTACACTTGGAGGACCTTACTTCCTGATGGCATCCCACGGGCATCCACTCCTGGGAGGTCAATGAACTGGCCGAAACGTGGTGGGGATCAAGAGAATTGTGTTTGCTACCCAGACTTTGGGCCAAAACCCATCGCTAGGTAATATATACATATTGTAAATTCTAGAAACTCACCAGAAGAATTCCAGAGGAATTCACTTCATTCCTCTTCACCAGGTTGAGGTTTAGAATATACGCTAAAAGGATCTACCTTATATGTATCGTAAAATTTAGCCTTCAAGCATCGAAGAATCCCATCGCGACCGATTTTGGTTTTACGTCGAAGACAATACGCTTAAAACCCCACTTTGTTCCATTTTCAAAGTTCAGGCATCCCGATTTTGTGACTTCAGCTAGAGACTTTCAATCAAATGCGGAGGCTGAAATCACACCACTAGCTGGGTTGAAGTCCGTAAATTTACTGCTTCAGACCAGGACATTAAGGTACTCAATATAAATGCGCAATCCATTTGTTCGAAGGGGAAAAGGGGGTTGTTATGTAACAGCTTCAGATTCAAGTCAATGAAGATCTAACGGACACCGAGGCATCGTACTCCCGCTGCCATGAAGACATGATTTATTAAGCGATTAAGTGGTCTACAAATCTGGTAATTGCCGGGTATCTCATAGGTCCGATGCATTTGGAGAAAGTTCAAATGCGGGCAGGGTAGAGGTTGAGTCCGATTTATTTACGAGCTAAACAAAGGCAGTACAAGAATTACAGCGGTATTTATATCTAGCCATTATGCGTATGAGAAGGTAACAGGAACCCCTTGCCATTCTCCCCATGGCTCAAAGTCCTCTTGCACCGACATTTGGTATCTGGCTTGTCTCTCTTTTTCTAGCAACTATGTATGTTCTCTCTCCAGTTCGAAAGAAGGACGACTACTTACTGGTGGTTCTTGGTCAGCCTCTATGGGATTGCTCTGCTACAAACGTGGCTCTACTTTCATTGGTACTCCAGCGATTCCTGGGCTGTGAAGTCGACAGTGAGATCCGGTTCATATCATTGTGGTTGATATATGTTACCTCATACAGCCTCCTTTTTCAGGTTATATTTCTGCTGTAAGTGTGGCAGATCACTTGCATAAGTGTTGTACTGATACCTTCATCTAGCCTCCTTGAGACACTTCACATATGTTTCTTCTTTGCGGGAACATATCATGCGCTCATCGATCATTTCGGGCTCTTTGAATTGCTCACAGAAATATCTTGGTGCGTTCTTCCATTGTGCCTGTGGACTTTGTATTGACTAAAATCCACAGGCTCGATTCGGTTTGCATTCAAAGTGATTTCATGAGGTTCTTTACTGATGAATAATTTTTCTTAGGCCCAATTACTGCTAGGAGTGAGTAATATCTCATAATGATTTCACGTACCCTCTCTGATCTTGATTGAACTTTAGTACCTATCTGCGTTTGTGGTTCAAGTGTAAGTGCTTAGATCCCAGTTCATTTTTTGTTTTCAACTAATTTATTCTCCAGATATTTCGGGTATCGTATCTATCTGCGTCAGTTCTCCTCACTCAAGTCATGAGATATCTATATTGAAATCGATGTGCAGTGGATAAGAAAAAGATTGTGATCACTGGCTTCATTGTGAGTTTCAAATATCTGGTCCGGTGGGGGTTTGTCTTGATGAAACCTCTTAGATGGCGTTAGCTCTTACACAGATTGCAGCCGGGCTCAGTAAGTCATGAGTTTACGGTGCTGAAAGGACTCTGTCTGATGATGAAGCTTCTTTCTTGCAGCCCAAACCGTCAAAGTGTAAGAATTCACTGCATCTAATGATAAATTCTGGATATGAATAGCGTTTTAGTGTACAGCTTGGCGATCTAAAATTGCTCGATACTACCAAGGTAATTTAATCCTACTCATGATCAGCTATAGCACGTTGCTAATAACTCTTCTTAGCAAATTACTTCTGTTCAAAGTGCTGCATCTTTGTTCTGTGATATCGTAATTACAGCAACGCTTTACCTTACCCTTAGAGGTAAAAAGGGTCCCGTCAGAGCGTCAGTAAAACACTGTATTCAAGCTGCCGTTCGTTCAACTAAACTTCACTTTCTAGAACAAACAACATGCTGAAGACCTTGATGACCAACGCGATCAATCGCGGTCTTGTTACAGCAGTGGCTGCAGGAATTAACCTTGTTTTGGTCAGTCCCATCCAGACTATCGATAGCGCGTACTTACTCCGCTACAGTTCTTGGCCATTCCGGGTACCTTTTACTTCTTTTTGGGACTGGTTCCTAGCAGTAAATGTGCGTTTATAAATCGGTTTATACTTACAGTGCCTTTTACTAACTTACAGCACAGTGTACATGAACAGTATGCTAGCTACGTACGGCTTGCATTGCTTCGCGTTTTTGATATGGCCACAACTGACTCATTGCTTACAGTCTCAATACAAGAAGGCATGTTGCAAAAATCCAATACGACAGCGAAAACGGTTGGCATTCAATTCCTATTGGTACGCTTCCTTCTTCGGCTGGGGCTTCAAGGAATGGTGCACTGTCCGCACCCTCGAAATCAATGGATTTTGATGATGAATCGGTGAGTATGAGTATGGTCTTTGGTTTTGCGGTTCTAAAACTCCTTTCTTTCAGGGCGGTGGCAACTCCAGAATCAAACCGGCTATCGTGAATATCCGATCACAGGGCTAAAAATGCCTGGTTGCACGACATTGTGCTGTTTCGAGTACCGTGTACATTCACTAGGGATCCTAAATATTTAAATCATTATCATGGAGGTCTGGTCAGTTTCACACTTCTACAATTCCACTCCTTTTATTAGCCGTTATTTCATGAACAAGGGTCAGAAATACGTATGTACATACGCATGTTTTAACTTTTGTCCGTGTTCTTCAAACATGCAAAATCAGAATCGGACATTTCTGTGACAGATGCGTAAATACTGCTTAACACCCAGCAATCACTGGGACAAAGTTCCCTTCTTTGAATTCGATCATCTCCACACCGCTGAAAATGTGCATATGTCCAAGTATCCACATGTTCCGTTTCCATCGCTTCGTAGCAGTCTTATCTCCAGAAACATATATCCCATTAAGGGCGTATAGATCTGATTTATGTATTTCCACGAACCTCCGTTTTCCCTGCCAAACGCCACCTAGACGTATGTCCGTCCTTGCGAAGCCTGGGGAGTTCCGTTAAGATGACGATATTAGTGTAGGATATGATTGCCAGACTCACGAACGCGAGGTACAGAAGTTCTCCTGACTCTGATCCGAATCCCACGTCCGCGCGTTCCCTTGATTCCGGGAAAGGGAGTAACGATCGCGAGAACCTTACACACTGTAGCTGTAATGGTTCTATCCATTTAGGGTCTGTTATCTTGAACTCCCATCTGTGTCACTTTGATATTTTTACTCTTGATCGCTGGTTAGGGGTTTCTTCAAAGAAATAAAGACTTCGTTTATGATTGAAATCTACTTACACACGTCAAGACACACTTACCCCGCTCTAGACGTTGTCAACGTTCTGGTAGAGTGAATGACTGATTCATTGAAAGGATGGCTATGACTTCGATTTCCGCGGTGTATACATACTGTGAGAGAATCCACTAAAAGTATTGAAAATGTCACCTGCCATGTTTGCTAAGTCCACCTTTGCATTTTGTGGTGTTTTTCATCCAAGCTAGACCGTGCTCTGGATAGAGTTTCAGTTCTAGGTAGGTAGATAGGTGGATTACTATGTACCTCAGAGTCCGTCAGCGAAGAATGGCAGGATGAACAACCACACTAAAAAGGAAAGTGACATCAATTCTCGCATAAGATTCGAGAAGAATTTTTAAAAATCCAAATTCGTCAGAAAAGTTCATGATGAGGAATTCTCTAGTTCATTGAATACTACTACACCATCCATTTGGAAAATTTACGATGAATGGAGCGAGTTTGATCATGACGGGGAAAGAGTTTTTTTACGGTACTCGGAGTCCTATGATCTGAATAGAGATGTACATAGAAATCGGTCTGGACGTGGTCAGCCCTGCAAGACTCTCTAGAGCCCCCGCCTGCTCGTATAGTATACGATCTCTGGAAATCTACTCCCATAAAGCAATGGAATCGAACGCCCGTGTGAGGCGCATGAAACTTCCGCTTTTATAATTTTAACCTGTGTCGAGAGGATGACGAAGGATAGCACTATTACCCCCCAACGGCGAGTGATAGACTGTGATAGAATTAATGTGTCTCCGGTACCGGCACATTCAATATCCTTGTAGCAAGTCGTTTCATGACACTTATCCTCCGTTTGGAAGCTCGGAGAAGTAACAGAGGGATTGACACAGGCCGCAAACCTCCATAGAGGCTCAGACACCACAAAATATATTTTATCTGACGATCTGAACTTCTATAGTACTTGATGCTCCTTGAATTTCGCAAACTTTGTTTCTACACTGACGGCTGTAGAAAAATCGCAGTCCCAAAATGGAGAATTATTCCCATCCGCCAAATTTGATAGAACAGCTTACGACAGGCATTAATTTGTTAGATACAATTATTTCTCCCTTTTTGGGACTGCGATTTTCAACGGCCTCTGTACTTATGTCAAGACGGTTGAAAATTAATTAATAAAAACTCTCGTCACCTGTGCGATTCGAACACACGCGGGCAAAGCCCAACCGCTTACGTTAGCCTAGGTCAGATGACCCTGAGATAGCAGGCGATCCCGTTAACCACTCCGGCAAAGTGACATGATTGTACTTTTGGGTTGTCGTAACCACTATGTGGCAAATCTATCAAATCGCGGGAGGGCGCGTCCAAAGCGGTATCATATTCATGTATGAGTATGTGATGAGTTGTGTCATGTAGATATGTACACTTAGAAAACGTAAGTCGACAGCTACAATTATTATTATTCAGGAAGGAGAGTTCCAAGATCGGAATAGAATGTAGGAAAACCAATCAAAGACCGATTAAATAAAACAGAACAGGAAAGAGAGCGCAACTAATAAATGAGAAGGGAGTAAAACGCAAAGCGGTTCTTCAACGTTTGAACGTCTATATATGAATCGTAACCGCAAGCAAAGGAGAAAGAACGTGAATCGTAAAGGTCCAATCTAATAATATTCGATATCAACCTTGATGTGACATCGTATGGAGGGCTTTTGACTTGATCTCTTATTCATCATTCCTTCTCTTTCAACTCTAATCATATCCTACAGGCCCGGCAAACCCCAACCTATAATACACATTACCTTCTTTTTTTTTCGTTATAGCTTACTGTACCACATCTGCCTTCATCTTGTATACATTTCCTCCTAAATCCAAAAATCCTTCTAACCAAAAATTTGGGAGGAGGCTGAGGTAGCTTAGACCCTCCTCGAGCTTTCCATCATAGCCCCATTCCCATTCGCACTTCCACTAACACCGGGACCTGATCCACCTACACTTGCCCAACTTTCTTCCGAAGCTGTGCTTACCCCACTAATTTCGGATCCGAAATCCGATTCACTCCTAGCACTCCCGTCATCATGATCGTAGTCGTGTATGACGAAGTCCATCTGTTCGGGCTCCGAGTCCGGGCTTGAGACGGACGACAGAGGTGAGCGTGGAGAGGTTGGAGAGGTCGTTAAAGAAATAACTCCTTCCGCGTTATCCATGTCCCTGTTCCTCGAGCCTGAAGGCGATATGAAAACAGAATTCGAAGGAGTATAGTAATATGACTGGGATTGAGATGCATCTCCCTCAGTATCACTGACGAACGAAGCTCCCCACGAGGGTGGAGGCACCCATGAAAGAGGAGGCATGAATGACGATCCGCTGAGACCGTGGTTACGGTCAGCATCGGCCGCGGCATCTCCCTCGGAGACGAATGATCCTCCCAAAGATTGCAATTCCGGCGATGCAAGGGCACTCAGATCGGCATGGGTCCTTGTTTGTTCTCCTTCCTCGTCGTCAGAATGAGAAGATATCTGAGAAAAGTCGGAGAAAGGCGACATAGGTCTCGAAGCTATTACCGAGCCCTCTTCTTCCGCACGGACAACAAACGGAGAGCCAATCGAGTCGAAAGATGACGTATGAGAAATTCCACTGAGAGATACAGGGGGAGATATTGCTCTAGACGAAGGTGGCGATACAAGTTCTCCCTCATTGTCGGACTCATGAGGAAGGGAGAAGGAAAGCGAGGGCACTAAAGCCGGAGATGAAAACGGGTCTTCAGCTGCCGCAGTCGAGGCGAGAAGCGGAGGCGACCTTAAAGTCGATGTAGAGGGAGCTTCATACAAGGAATGGCTCGTAGTATTGGGACTAGAAGTGGACGCAGATGAAGAGGTAAGTGGTTCGGGCTCGATATCCTTTGGCAACGGGGGTAGAGGACTATTCAATCTCGATGAAGCCACAGTCGTGGACGGGGAGGGAGAAGCCGTAGAGATAACATGTGTAGTAGGTCCACTACTAGTGCTTGTGGTACGAGCGAGACCTGGTGCAGGTAGGAATGTGGAATTGATAGCTGGAGTGGGCGTACTAGCAGTCGGAGTGGATGGAGCAGGAGAAGCTGGAGTAGGCATCATAGGCGGGAAGGTTTCGTCCAACCCAGGTCTGTTGGCAGTACGGTTGCGAGGTCGAAGGGTGCCAGTGTCAGTTTCCACACCAGAGGACGAGGCTATCCCAGAAGAAGATCCGGCTGTCGTTGTCTGGGAAGACCTCCAACCTGAGGCTTCCATCTCGAATAAACCCTCTTTTTTCCATTCTTCGAGGTCTTTCATATTCTTGAGATCTTTCAATCTTTCTCTGTCCTGGTCTCTCTTCTTGTTATCCCCATCGTCTCCGCTGGTTTCGTCCTCATCAGTAGAAGTAGACGATGAGCGTCTAGAATGGGCGCTGAACACCAGTGAGACAGGCACAAGCTGACGTTGGCGTCTGGCACGGCGACGAGCCTCCCATCTGGGTTTGATGTGAGGTTCATAGACAAACTGAACAGTGGAGAGTGGTGAAATGACGTATACATGCATGAGTATCCCGACCAGTCCAAGGCCAACAGACACACACGCACCTCTTTGAAAGCCATTCCTGCGGCAACTACTCCAATTACTGTAAAGACATAAACAGCAGGTCCTGGCATATTGAAGACTTGTTCTTCGTTCGGTGTCGAGGGGAAAGGTGGAGTATATCCGTTCTAATTGCGATCTAGTCGGCTGGGTAGGCTAGTTGGAGTTCAGAAAGAACAAATCTTTGGTCGGAAAGCCCTGTTCTTGAGGCAGGTGCTTGAAGTGAAAGCTGTAGAGAAAGCTGTTCGGTTGGGGGAAGCGTTTCGACTATTTCGATGGGTCGGAGCTCGTGACCTGTCCCAAAACACACCACTGCCAACCCACAGAAAAAACCGTGGTTAGTCTAGCCCACTTGAACAGGGAAGTAGGGTAAAAGGTGAAGAGAAGTGAAGATAGGTCAAAAACGTACATCTACCTCGTTGATATCACTGATGTGGTCAAGAATGCACTGAAAGTTACGCCAGAGCGAAAAGACGATGCTCGAATTGGCTGGATTGTGATGTGTTTTGAAGATTCTTCCTGAGGCTTCAGTCAGTACTTGCCCTCACTCTGGTTCTCGCTGGGGCAGTGAGCAACGTCGTCCGGTGCAAGGGTTTGCGTTATACGTAATTATTAATTGGAGCTTTGTCCGCCGGATCTCGGTCCGCCGACCTCTACACCGGTATGCCGAAGACGGAGAATTTGGTGGTAAATGAAAAAATCATATAGAACAGTGGCGCTGTTTTTATTAAAAGTGAGGTCAGGTAGAAATAGAATGGGACACAACGAAAAAACTATCATAGCAGATGCGGTCTAATGTTCGAAGATTCTGTATCAAAGAAACTCTTGTAATTTGAGAGTCATTGGGAGCATAATAAATAATCATTGTCAGATCCGTACCCTTCAATGGTAAGACTTTTATTTTCTCTACATGAAATTCAACTTCCAAGTTCTATCTCAAGATCGGCTTCCACTGTTAGCAGATTTGAAGTTTCACTCTCGATCTGCAATTGAGGGTCTTGAGGCAAACTTGATTGAATCGGAGAGGGAAAGGTTGTCTCCAGAGCTGTCATCTGCACATAAAACAACCCCTATGAAGATTATACAGCTGGTAAAAACTGGAAATAGAGACTAAAATTTTGTTAGCCTTCTTTCGAGGCAAGTGTAACAAAAATGCAGTCCTACCGATATGACTGGCATAACTGCCTTATAAATTAACTTGGCCTCTGGATCATATTTTGACTCATTACATGCGGAGCCTAGTACAATGTATGCAATCTACTGAAAAGGTTAAAAAAGGTAACTGTCTCAAGTATCACTTGCTCACCCAGAGGATACATGAAATTGCACCCGACTCAGCCAAAAGCCATAAAACTTTTTGAACTTTGGTCAGACGGTTACGACTCTTGAAGAAACTTTTTCTGAAAAATGAAATAATGGCACCTATTATGACATTAAAAATTTTGAATTTGACCATGACCAGAGGCACTCACCATGCTTTGTAACTAGTCAAAAGAGTCGCAGTGACATTTGTGGCCAAAAGAGGACCAGTCCAAATGAGTACCATAACAGGAATATCCTCATTTACAAGATCAACAACAGTTCCAGCTAATGATTTGAGTGTAAGGTAAGTAAATGCTAAAGAATAAACAATAATAAACCAATTTTCTCACTTACTTAATGACCCAACTAGAAGAGTTATGAGCAAAGCTTTGACAAACTTGTTGTCAGGGAACAAAATCCAAACCCTCCAGACCACAATTCCTGCATTGATCATGTACTGAAACCCTTCTCTTGAAAGATGTTCACTGAGTCATGACACATCTAACACTCACATTTACCCTGTTCAAGATTTTGTATATGAAGTAGAAAGTTTGTGCTCGTCCCCCCGGAGGTAAAGGAGTAACTTGAAGTATAGATATAGTATATTCCAGGTTCAAGACACAAGAACAGATCGAAATCAAAAGCATAATGAGTGAGAGAAGACATGTCGCCAATCGAGCTTTTTGACGGAAGCCCTTACTCAACCTTAACTCGTTATCAATGATATAAATTAAAACCACTTAAACAATCAGAGAGGACTTACAGGTAAAAAAATATGGTAGTGACGGAAAGAGTGCCATGAACTCCCAGAAACAAAAACGCCATTGCAACCCCGAGTACCCACTCTCTCGAGCCCATTCCCTGTCGTGTATAACAATCAAAGAATTTATAGGAATAGTACCATGCATGCCCATGCATTTTTTGTGACTTTGAGGCTTGCGGAGCTGAACAAGCTATAGAAAGTTTCTCTAGCACAAAACATATTTAAGTCTTTTCTCTAAATGATGCAATGTCAAAAAAAAATGTAACTACTCATTCATGTCTATACCTTCCATGCAGCAGCTCACTTAAACTTAACCATTCAACCGTGACTGATGACTCTACGGGTAAACTCAAACGCTGACTTCCCAGCCTCTTTCAGCTTTTTTACAGAGTGTGCTATTAGAGTAGCCACCCGTAGGCTGTATTCCCATTCCGTGGTTCTCGAGTCATTCAAGATAATAATCCTCCAGCACCTCATGACACTGGAGTAAGTATCTTTGCCTGCAGTCTACCGGCGGCGGTGTGTTCTGCTCACCGGCCGCGGGGCGTTTCCGTGGAACCTGATGTGTCATTTGACCATCTCTTTCCATGTTTCGAGCTCACTTTACATGTCTTCTCCCGAAAAGCCCCCGGCTAAGATT